CGCACGGTCCCCTGGCGACGGTGGCGGCGGAGGTGAATGGATGGCTGGAAGAAAGGGGGGAACGAAAGCAGCCTGACGGGCGGGGGAGGGGAGCAGGGACAGGGACGGGGGATGACCGGAAGCAGCGGGCCGGTAGTCTCTCTCCTGAACCAGTAAGCACTTGCCCCGGTGTCTCAGCTGCGACACAAGTCCACAACTGTAACAGGTTTTCTGCTCCGATTGTTTCAGTAGAAGACTCACCAAAAGTGAACCTATTGTCAAAGCTGTCGCAAGGGGGAGGAGGAAGGCATGAACAAGAAAACTGAGGTGCCTGCCTGGTCTGGCCATCATAATGAGCACTTTTTGGCAGATATTGTTTGTGGCGAGAGCGAAGCTACTCCCCTTTCGAAGAGCCGAAAAAGGTTGGCGTAAATGAATTAAATCAGATAATAAGCGGCTGCTGTGAAGGGCTTCTAACTGTTTTGATGAGAAGAATGAATTACATGTTCGCCTAACGAGGACAGGGGAATAGGAGAGCACTGCCGACTTAATATAGGTAGTCTTGAGAAGAAGACTCGATCGCTGGGACAATACGTTTATTCGTCTGACGCTTCGAAATCCGTCGCGGATTCATCATCAGAGACATGAGTAAGAAACAGTAGCAGATGCGCTTAGATCGGCCCGAAAGTGGGAAAAATTTACCCTTCGTGATGCCTCAATCTATAGGTAGTCTTGTTATGCAGTTCAGGAAGGGCAGATATGCTCATATCTCAATCGTAACAGTAACTTTAACATAAAAAGGTATTGTAACCTTAATCCTAACCCCAGCCGTACCCTAAACCAAAACCTAGTAGTTAACATGAACCCAAACCTTAACTCTTGATATAATTCTAATTCTAACTCAAACCTTTAGTTTAACCCTAATTCTCATCTTAATCCTAAACATACTTTTACTGGAAGTTGGCTCAAAAGCATATTTATTGCAGGCGAAGCGTTCCTGTTTCGGTGTCCTGTTTAGACGGTCATCCAAGTTATCCTTACCGTTTTTATACTTAAAACTACACTTATGTCCTACTGAAGAAACTTTAAGAACCATCTATGAATGGCGTCGACTCGACTGTTGACTGCTTGTTTCAAAAAGATGCACAGGCAGTCTTTGGCTCATACACGCATATGAGAGAGATAGAAATATGCTTTATTTTGAGGGTAAATATCCAAACTTTTCAGCGAAAAATGGCTCCACTCACTTAGAGCAAGGGATATGGCTAGGTAAATGGTCATAGTCTAAAGGCTTACGTGATATCCACTTCTGTTACGGAGATAGGTCTGAGTTCAACTTCTGAATTTCCGTTTCTTCATACGTGTGGTAGCGTGCTGGGAAGGGGAGTATAGAGTTCTGATATGCCGATGTACGGCAAGACATACGTCGGAAACTTCGGCGCATAGTATGGGATATCTTCGCAGCCATTAGTCCAGAGTGGAGAGGATGAGCGACCTCACTAAGAAGGCGATTAGAAAATTACCTGACCGTTTTAAAATGTCACTGTATCATAATATTAGCGCAAAAACACAAGAAACACCGGCAGCCGAAGAGAGCATTCGGAGGATACGTTCAAAAATGAACAGTTCTTTTTTAAAGGAAGGCTGGAAAAATAACTGGAGAGCAGTAAAGAATGAGGACTAGGAATCATAATAGAAAGTAATTAATCTACACAGAGAGAGTCCGCACGTTTTTAACGTACTAGGAGATAACCTGACCGTCGGTATGCTTACATCCAGTAGGTTGCACACCGTCCTGCCTTTGCAACTGAATCAGAGTAATTGGGAAGGCGGATGTGTGTGTCTGTGGGAATATTTTAAAATTAAATTCCAGTAGAGGTCATCACTGCGCCTTGAACGTCATGGGAATTTGAAGGTTGCGGTCCGAACGGGCAAACATCTCTTGGGATTGAACCGGGTTGCGAAGACTCCTCCTCCTTAGTACTACTTTATGACAGATCTCACAACTATTTTGTGAGATCTAGTCCATATCAGAGACGATATTGTTTATATACCTCCCCCCCGCTTTCCCGACCGGAAGTGAGAATAGGGACGTCCCTCCACCATCCCATAATACAAGCGGCCTTACGGTACATTCCGGAAAGGGTGAAGATTCCCGCGTCCTAATCCTAGTCCTCACCTTAAATCTAGCTTTAACGCTAATCCCCGATTGTCCTGCAATTTAGTACAAAGATACCTGTATTACGGGGCGTTTCTGTTCCCAAGTCTTACAGTCCCTGTTCGTGTCAGTTAACGTAGTGGCATTTGCTACACGAAGTAGCCAACTACGAATGCCTGGTCGTAGTTGGGAGGGGGGAAGAGTCTGTAGCCGATCTTGCTGAGGTATACTTCTCTACAATACAACCAGCTTGGTTTTCAACCTTCTCCAAGTGAAAAAACGTAGCATGTGAGAGATTAAAAGAGAGGAGGGTGAGTTTGGTGCCTCCGTAGGCTGTTAAAAGTCCAGCCTTGTAGAGAGAGGGAGGCTTTTTGTCGAGGCATATTTCCTCGGATCTTTTAATTTTCCATAGAAAACGCCAAACATCCTCGGAAGGGAGTAAAAAATTCCTGCATTTCAGCGTATTCTCGAGTCTGGTAGATTTCAAAACCTACTTCTTCTTCTTAATTACTACTTAAAATCGGCATCTTAGCTGCCGAAACCTGAACTTGGGAAAGATGATGGATTGCCCATGGTGGGATCATAAGTTCCATTTTGACGTTTATAAAATACTTACCTGTTCATGTTTTTTTTCCCTCTTCGAAACAGACTGGAGTGAAGCCACTGTCCACATCACAACCCGTTAGATGCGCCTGTGCGGGCTGTGAGTGCAGCGCCTTCCAGCCGAAACTGACGGCCATCCGACAATGCACCGGATGCCAACATTCATGGGTATTTCACGGTAGGTTTGAAGCTTTCAGTGTGTATGTACAACGCAATCCGCGGGTAAAACCCTGTGATCATTCTCTAAATTCATGCTTAAGAATGATTAAGTCCAAATAAATAGTAGTAAACGAATTTGTTACTACGAATAGAAGCAAATATGCGTGCCCCAGGTTACTATTTGTCCACGTATAACAAACAGTCAATTTACATGGAACAGTAACACGCAATTTGTAGTACATGTACTCGATCAACTTCCGGTAAAAAGTGTTTGGTAGAGTCCTCCGCCCTACTGGGCTGATTGCAAAAAAAACTGTACATGAAAACGAACACATGTTTAGTAATTCTGGCCTGCTTTTGCTACACTAAACTGCAGATACTTCCACATAAACTACTTCCATGGTGACCTTTTTACTGGCAGAAACGAAGTGGTGACCGGACTAATTTTTTCTGCCTTTTTTATTGCTTAAACAAGACAAAAGCGACTAAACACACAGAATTTATTGACGCAAATTGATTGAGGTGGTAAAATTGCATGAGGTCAATAAATGCTGCTCATTTTGCGCCTTTGCCTTGTTCAAACTTATGCCGGA